CTCTCCACTAAGCTTCTCCTGATGCTGGACTTCAACTCTGGTGATGCTTGACGATGAGCATTTGGTGCTTAAGACTGGGAACCATCAAATCATAGAATCCCATCGTTGGGATGTCTACTCCAACTCCTCTGCCCAGTGCAGGAATATGCTACTACAGGAAGTGGGGATCCAGCCACATATGGAAGATCAGAAGCTTTCCTTCACTGTTCTAGGTGGACCCATGGTCTCACTTGAGATAAATCAGCTTCCTGCCTTTCTTAGGTAGGAAGTAAACTACCTTCCAACTATGGAACCTGGTTTCAAAATAAGTGGCTGATCATCATCATCCATAGGCCAACTTCAGCAGCAGAACCCCTGGTTCCCAATGCAGAATGTCCAAGGTTCCACTCCAGCGTCTCCAAGAAAAACAGATATTTGAAACCAGAGGAGTTCCTTCCAGCCACTGTTTTTGAGACAGAAGACACAGACATCTGATCTGGCATAACATAAACTCTGATTAGGGATGGGCGGGCCAGTCTCCCTCCAACCAACATTGGTGAGTTTCCTATATTCTTCCATTCTTTCTATACTCAATCCTTTCTTTTTCTTCAGCCTCCAGATCCACGCAAAAAGGTCAGGATGGAAGGAGCAAGGTTGGAGTTCACATCCACCCTTAACGGAGAGGTCCACAGAGTACAATTGTCACCAGAAGTGTCTTTACTCTTTCTGGGGATTGGGCCACCTCAAAAATCAATCTATTTCTTTCCTACCATCAAACCAACTAGGTTTGCAATAGTGGTGCCCCTTCAGGTGGTGAAGCCTCCCATTGTCTCAACTCAGTTCCTTTCTTCATATGATTTTTGGAGAGCAGGTCCTGGGTACAAGACATCATTGCTAGCTACCAAACAAGACACTATTGTTAGCTATCAAACATCTATCGAAGCGGTGGAATTTGCTGTCACAGAATATGGTGCTTGCAACCCAACTTGGGGGCCTCCACCCTATTTTGTGATAGCAAATTCCACCGCTTAGCTCACTCTTGAGGGCATTCATACAGCCCAACCCCAACAACATCTAACAGCGTCACAAAATGGCTACACTCACACCACATATTAAGACAATGGTTAGGGTCCCACCAGACATTGAACCACAAAGGTCCCAACCTCGTTTTAACCTTCTCTAGCAAGTTGCATCAAAGAAGAATATTTTTCTATTTCATAGCAAGATCCCAGAGGAATAAAACTCATGGCCCACTTTTTTCTAGCCTTATTTAATTTTATACATCTCTATTATTCTCCTCACTCTTCTAATTTATTTGCCTGTATTAATTACTCGGTTCAAATATTGTGCTAAGGCATAAGCATAGTTTGTTTGCTTCTCTTCTGCTGGTGACACAATGGGTTCTTTGCTTCTGTTTCGCTGATTAAGACACAACTAGCTGAGTTCACACAACATATGAAGCCACAAACATGCAAAGTGAAACATGCCCACCCAGCCATAAGCTAAGATAAATCCTGTGTTCACACAGCGCACCATCCTGCTTTTGGCTTACAGGTGATATGTGAATATCTACTGTGGCTTATAAAGCATGATTTGATGACTTCATGTGATGGGAATCTGGCCAGCGTGGCTTAGTCAATACAATCCAATTAAAACAAGCCGTGGTTTGGAGCAATATAAGAACCCAGCTAATGACCTTGAGAAGAGAATTCAAGAAGAGAGGAAAACCATGCCAACAGAAGAGAAGACCTGTAGCTCAGGGTTGAACCGTAGAGTCCTTGGGGTTCTCTGAGCTTGGTTGTTTTCTTGCAGACGTTTCGTTACCCAACGGACTCCACAGGAAAATAATGATCATCCTCCTTAAGGAGAAAGCTGGCACATCTGAACTTCCCTTGCGCCAGCCTCTTCTCTTCCATGCACAAAAGGCCAACATTTCCCCATCCTTGCAAACAGTCCATTTGCAAAAAGTGGAACAATGTCCCAAATTTATACAGCGTATCTGACGGCGGCCAGCAGTCTGCGTCCCAGCGTCCTTCTCCGCGTGACTTTGATGCGGTACCCTTGTGCTGAATTTTGTCAAGACCAGATGCTCGCTGTTCTCCCTGGATATAAACAAAGCCCCCTATATGTATTTGCAGAGCCAAAGCTTGCTTCTTCTAAACGGCTTTTGTGAAGAAGCCGAAAGCAAATAAAGTCTCCTCCGAGAGCCCCGGTGTTGTGGCTCCCGTACATGCGTAGCCTCAGGCGAGCGCACAGTGTTCGGCTTCTGTCTTCTTATCATCGTTTATACAGTTGCAGACCAGACTCTCTTCCAGCAATCTCTGGGGAGGACAGAGAAATGTCTTCCAAACTTGGAGTTCAGCCGTGCTCAGAGGTGACGGATTTAGAAGAGAAGTTTGTTTCTATCGACTTTGCGTTTGCTGTCAAGACGTCCTGCCGGAGCGAACACAGGATTGCAGAAAAGGCACATGAAGAAGGCCAGACACAGACAGGCTTAGAGGAACAAGTCCACCAGCTCTACAGAGCCAGTGGGAAAAGCCATTGGTGTAGTGCCAAATCTCCTGTGCACATGAGGCTCTCAATTTAGCATTTCTGCTTGGAGACAGGATACAACCTCCATTATTAATTGCTGTCCTTATGCACGAGGATGCAGAAGGAAGTCGGGGCCTGGGTGTGCCCCAAAACTTGCATCTACATTGGCCCAACGTAACGGTTAACCTCGGTTCGTCATGAGTTATGGCTTAGTAAGTTGAACTAAGCCAGCCGAGATCATTTTTTAAAAATTCTATTTGTTTTTTTTTATTTGCATCATGTACTCTGCCAAGCATTAGCAAGTGTACCTTTCAACTCCCAGCTCAACCTTCTGCACGGCACTGGGCTCCTTAAATTGGAAGGATGGGGAGGGAGTTTAGAGATCATCCAATCCAACTTCCTGTCTGGGAAAAAATGCTGAATGCCTCCAGGGACAGAGAGCAAGGTGGTAAAGTGAAAGCAGCTAATTATTAAAGAACTTTGATAGACCCCTAATTTCTCATTTTATCAGTTCATTTTTCCTCTATCAGCTATCGGATTCTGAGATCAAACGTTGACGACTCTGCGCCACTATGAAACCACAGCTGAGTAACTGAGAAAAATCTAATGATTGAGAAACCGCAGTTCCAATATTGATCACGTGGGTCAAAATGAGGTGACTTCAAGGCATGACTGGGTTACATTCCCACCTACCCTTCTCTTTGTTCCTGAATTAACCAATTTTCTGAGTTTGCCCGTTACATCTCGCCAAGATGAACGCTAACTAAGATGAACCCTAAGATGAACCTTAAGATGAACTCTAACCAGAGTGCAGATGAAGCCTCCAGGTGTTTAACTGACCTGGCAAAGTGTGTGGTGCGACACGGCTGTCGTCTTTCAAAGCAACCTACTTTGTACTTTTGGGGATGAAATAAAGACAGAGCATCAAGTGCCCCTTCTAGAGGAAAGACGGGGGATAAATACAAATTCATCAATAGCAATTTAAGTCTTAACCATGGGGTAGACCTGGAATCTCTTTAAACTCAGACGGGAGTTTTGAAAGTCCTTTCCATCCAAAATGGGGTGAATGCCCACATTTTGATGCAAATGTTCATGTACCAGCCCTGGTCAGTGAATGTCTGAAAGTTAACAGCTGGATGGATAGATAGATAGATAGATAGATAGATAGATAGATAGATAGATAGATAGATAGATAGATAGATAGATAGAT